TGTAACTCAGTTTGACACTGCAGTTGTGAGGCACATGGTCCTTGTACCAAAATCAAATTTGTTGTGGGTCAGTAAACCACTCTCACCGTACCTTCAGTTAGAAATAAGCTTTTCTGTACTTGCTAATTCAGGATATTTTTGGACTAAACACCCACTCTTGTCTGTTAGTCACAAAAACAAGACCTCTTTTGTTCCCTTGTCTGAGACGTTTCCCGCATTTTCTGTCAATCTCTAACAAAAGCACCATAATTTTAGAAGCTAAAAGCATCTTTTTACTTTGAGCTTCATTATTTCTGCCGTTCCCCAAAGTAAGTCTGACACTGTATGAGGTTTTAGTTTCACACTTTCTACAGAGGATACAGTGCTGACTTTCAAGTGTTTGAAACTCATCCCAAAATGAGTTTTTTTCTCTCTCTTTGTCTAATATAGTTCTAACAGAAGGACGTAAAGACATGTTTCGTTTTAAGAAAAATGCTGTAATCCAAAATGTAGATCCCTCATTGAGTTCAATCACTTTCTTTGAAGTAACTAGTTAAAGAGATTTGATTTTCTTGTTTCTTCCAACCCAACAAAAACTGAACGAATAACCTAAAAGAGAAGCAAGCCGCTAAGGACAGCTAAAGCCATATCTATGATGGACAGGAACTGAGCCTGCAGCTGATTAACTACTTGACTGCAGCTGTTTGTCGTAAATATAAAGAACAGCTACATGAAGGAGAGAAACTTTAATTGAATATATCGTATTTTTGTAATTATTACTTGTTAAAACTGCCTCAATATATGTTTATATTTATCAAAATAGCAAGACCTTCAAAAAATCTATTTTATCTTTCATTAAATATTTTGAAAACGCACAAGTTGTGCTTTTTCTGTTTCCTGCTGATGCAGTTTGTTGTCGACTGACTCTGGACTAGCTCTGGCATCCATCAACATTAGACTTTGGTTCCGTATTGCTTGGAAAGATGCAAATAGAAACCGAGGAGTGGGTCGTTTGACCCACTCCTCGGTTTCTATTTGCATCTTTCCAAGCAATACAAGGTCTTGTCTATATAAAGACTCAAACTCACTGCGGATCCAGACATTTGAATTGAGAAAGCTTCCTGGAGGGGAAGCGAAACGTCTTCAAATCTTGGAAACCAAGTCCAGTGGATTGTTTGTTAATTTAAACTTTTACGGAATGACTATGACCTAGATGACTGAGAATCTTCATCAGCATTAGACTTTGGTCAAATATTGGAGTATGGCTGTAAATGTAATGGGCTATAAATTGGTTGGGAGTGTCCAGAACACAGCCGCAAGTTGGGTAAAATTAGTTGGCAAGAATATGTAAATGTCTGTGAAAAAAGTAAATATAGGTTATAGTTATTTAAAATTTGCACTGTATTAAAGTGTATAAGCATTTTTTCTGAACTACTACAGTAGCAGCCATTCAAAATGACCCTTCCCAGTCAAACACCAGCCGAATGGCAGCCCACTACCCTGCAACTCCCAGTAATATCCCCTCCATGAACCCAACATATTTTTTCACTCTGACTCCATCCTTTTACTGAATTACAGGGTCTGACAAACAGCTGACGCTTCTCTTTAAATCTTTTTGTCCACAAATCATGACAGAATATTTTAGTACAAAGATTGATGTTTAAAAAGGAGTTTTAGGGGAATAGCTAAGGACCAGCCAAGGACCAATCAAGGAAAGTGGGGATTTTTTTTAATGGCTACAGCTGTAAAATGTGCATGTTAAATGTAAAAGTTTTAAATGAAAAACAGATTTGTTTGTTTTAAAAATATGTTTAAAATAATCTGCTGAAATCCACGGAAAATAGGATAGAATAATCTATTACAAAACAGCTCTACTGTAATCATTACATTCATGCCCATGTTGAGTTTATACAAACTTATCAACAGAACTGTGGAAGGGTATTCTGTTTGCATCTTAGGTTTTATTAGGGATGTCTTTTGATTTGTATTTTTTTTAAACATTGAATGCATTTTGTAATATAAACACATTTGGCAGAAATGTATTTATGAATTAATTTTATTTTTCCCCCTTCTCAAACACTACCCTGCTCTGATAAAAACCCCTAAAGTGACCCAGAAATGCTTCCCTGTAGCTGCTTTAGCATTCTCGGATAGCAGCAGAGCTTTATTGATTCGACTTGATTGAGCTGTTAAATAAATTTGGACCTAGACCTAATCCAATTTTGCTGCTGTCTACAGCCTCTCTATGTTGAAAATTCACAGCGTCGTCACACATCCTGAAGTTCGGGTTAAAGTGACGGCCTTAAAAAAGACAGACGGGGACGGAGGCCAACTCGCTCACAAACAGTTGTTCGTCTGAAAGGATTTGAAAAGAAGAAAGTTGAGCAAGAAATAAGCATTGTTTAAAACATATTAACAATAGTTTAAAATACTGTTTCATAAATCGGACCAGGTGCATTTCTGAGTCCTTTTTATGGTAGAGCAGGGTCACACTCATCATGACCCCTTTTCTGCTGGCTAGAACAGCCATTCTTTCAATAGGATATTAATAAACATTGTTTATTTTTCGTTGATTGTTAGTTATACAGGGACTGTCAAAGCAGTTATTAAGAAGATTAAACCTAAATATAAGATCATTCTTGAAATATTACTATCAGCTGGTGTGTTGTTGTTTTTTTAACAGTGAATGCCACATTTGACTCGTATTAGATGCTCAGTGGGCAGTCGCTGCAGACACTGGGCATTCAGCACACGCCTCAGTAGGAGCGTGCTAGGCTCTCATTTATACATGCACACAAATAGAGCAGAGGATTCCACTCTACATATGCCAATTCAGCAGTACTTGCCTCTTGGGCAAAGGAGAAATTCAGCAAACATATGAGACTGCCTACTTGAGTGAAATTGGAATGCAATTGGACTCTTTGACAAACTGAAATACTACGAGGGAGTCATCAAGATTAGATGAAATATTCCATCTGCATGGCAATTTTTCTTGTTACTCTTATACGCTGGATATAATGCAGTGATTGCCGGGTACGTTCACAACCGTAAAATGTTTTGAGGTTTGAAGTATGCCGCTTATTTTGAATTTTATATAGAAGCTTGAAGGCATTTCATTCTATGTATTCAAAATATATTTGCATGTAATTCTATTTATTAAAACTATTAAAACTTTACCATTTACAGAAAAGATACAAGCAGATGCCTAATAACCATAAACTATATTAGTCGATTGTTCTTTAGCCTAAATTAGGGAAGGAAACTTTTTTGCATAACACAATTCAGTACAAGGTCAAAGTGTTTTTGGATGAATTAAACATTGAAATTAAGGACTTGATAGATGCAGTCGGTAATTAAAACAAACTAATACCTCAGTTAACAGTCAAAGGCTGTTCTAAAGAAATGGTCTTATAACTTTGACTTAGCTCATTTTCTTTTGCAGAAACATGAATCCATTGCATTAATTTTTTCTAAACCCAAGCTATTTTTCAAGTTTCCTTCGTCTGCACTTTTCTGAAAAAGAGTTCCTGATCTGCGCATAAGACTTGTAGATTACCGCCAGTTTGTTAAGCAGGTATGTGGTGAGCAGCCATCATTGTCTAAAACTCAAATATCTGCTTAGTTTATCAAGATATATTGCTTGATTTCCAAAGGGCTCTGACATTTTTGGAGATGTCTGTACTTCCTGTGCCGTCAGCTGACCAGGGGTTTGCTATACCTCCAGTTTTGAGCCACTGGCCCAAAGTGCCAGGCCCCAGCCCACTGGTGTCACCCTCGATTGACAAGAGGAGTGAATTGTGAGTGAGTTTTTACATGGCGGTGAGCTGCAGTTTAGGCTTTAAAATAGGATAGATATGCTGAGGTAATGGCAGACGCAGCTGGTTTTATTTTTGTCTTTTTATTACCTCCACGCTCTGAACCGGAGGTGGAATGCAATTTTCTTCACAAATTACCCAGTATCCCATTTACCTGGGGAAAAATTCCATGGATTAAAATCCTTTGACTTTTCGATGAAATAAAGCTTTTTACAACAGAAAGCAGATAAAAAATAAAAAATCAACCAAACAAGATGGTTGGTAAATGGAAGAGAAATATTTCTGGACCTTATTGCCTGTTTTTTAGGGGGAAGGGTTCAGTTTCTTAAGGTTAATGCTGAACACTGTTTGCCTGGATGTGGCTTTATGGTACGGTGTTGAGGATTAATGAACAGAATTAATTGCATTTGTTCTTCCAGTTACTGGGTAAGGGGAATCATCTACATTTCTTTTTCCTTTTTTCTTCTAACAAGGCTGGAACTCCTTTTTGATTACTTTTATTTATAAAAATGATCACAGTTTCTCTTAACTCATCTTCTGATGTCATAAAGAGATGGTATATATATGATTTCTTGTTATAAACAATCTTTTGTTATTTCTCTGGGAGCATTTTATTTTCACAGTGAAAGAAGTTGGGTGTTTCTTGGATCCAGCTACTAGGTCTGACTGGTCCTTTTCTAATTGGGCAACAGCAATCAGAATAGGTACCGACACAGTTTGCAGAAATCTCCTCCGTACATCTTTAGAGCGCAGCAGACGCTTCGTCGCTAGCAGAGGAGTTCGCAAGATGTTTTTAGAGGTTAACTCTCATCTCTCTGCAGAATATTGCAGCCACATTAGCATATACATGTGCTACTTGTGAGCTGCATGTTTAATATGAGCAAGATTTAAAAGTATAATCGTACACAAAGCGATGATGTGGCAGTGAATGGGACAAACACAAGACGGGGAGGTGTGCTGACGAGCTACACCATCCACCTTCCTGCTTGAACCTGTGTGTGCGAGATGTTGTGTGTAGGTGCACTCCGAACGTTTGAAGAGATAAAGTTGAATGTGTGCGTGATTCTTCGCCTGCCTGCCTGCATGAATGACAGAACAATCAGAGATTGGCTCAACAGGAGATATATACACAGCATAACTCACTCCAATCCCCTCTGCTTTCCTTCCTCCTTTACCCTCCCCCTTTCCTTACCCACCTTCCCACAGAAACCAAAGCAGAAAGACTGGCATCCTCCTGATGGCTTCATCCTGGGCCTGTGGACTTTAATCCTCCTGGTGTTTTTCAAGACCTATGGTGTTAAACACCTCAAACACATCTTCTAAGGACTCGGCGCAGGCACAGCTCGACATCTGAGGACCTGGTAGTCCTTTCTGAAGGGATGTTTGGGGAGGAAGGCACAGCTTGTGATGGGTTCATATACCTGAATATCTGGGGATAGGAGCAGCAGAAACTACTGATTTCTACAAAACTCCATAAAACTACTGGTGCCTTTTCTGTTCTTTAATTTTGTTTTTTTGTTTTTTTGTTTTGTGTGCAAGAGACTTAAAAAGATGTGGTACCCCAGTAATACATCTCAAATGTTTCCTTGAGCATGCATTTTAGGTGTGGGGATTATTTCTTCCAAATGGCCAAAGAAGCCGCTGTAGCTGTTTTGAAAGGCAAACTCCTGCTAAAAATAATTGTCCTTTTTTTGTTTTAGATATTCCATTTTTCTGGAAGTTGTTGACAAGTAAATCGAACATTAAAATGTCTCCTACCAATCTGACGATGAATTATTTTCCTAAATATTTATAAATCAAAATTTATGAAAATAAAATTGTGTGTTTTCCAAGTAAAAGGGGTCTGTTCAGATATAGAGAGCTAAGACTTTTTTAAAGTTGCAGCCAGAGTCTTCATGTCAACTGGTCCAGAGTGTCTGATGGATATGATCTGACCTTCTAGCTGAAAGTCGCCTCGTCTGGACTTAGCTGCTTAGAGTAGTATAGTCTATTGACATGCATGTATGAAATGGTTATTTAAGAGGATTGTATGTAAATAGATAATCACTGGATAAAAACAAAAAAAGCTACACAAACTCTGTTTATACATTTCCAGTAGTAGAGCTAAAATTTTGGGGCCTCTGTCAAGGATTGAAAGAATATTTGTTTTTTTTAATAACACCAAATCTCTGTTTTCTTTATTGTATAGTCCTATTAAAACATTGAAAGTGTGTCTTATTTTTACTACTACTGTTAGAGTGGAGCTGGCTAGGAGCTCTTGGAAAACGCTGAACTCTGGATCATGCTACTCTTCTACAAAGTAACTCAGGATGTTGTGTAATAGACCAACAAAAAGTGCATTATAATTAAGAAATGGTAGGAAAGTGATGGGTGATTGTTAAATAATGGTTTCCCTGATCTAACCCCACATTAAAATTAGGGGGGTGGGTTGCTGCTAGCAGCTTGAAAAAAAAAAAGGTTTTTAACTAACTAAAAAAATTAGGCCAATTGTTAAGAAAATACATTCGATGGAGAGTATTTTTCATTTTTTATATCAATATTGAATGATTTAAAAGGACTGGGAAAAAAATGGTTGCACTGCATTTATTGTTTTTTCAGTAAGAGGGACTTTATACACATACATGCCATCATTCTTTAAATTTATTTCTTGAAATGAATTTTAAAGCCATGTCTCTGTGCTTGTGTTATTTGCTCCCTTTTGTTGCTCTATAGATATAGCCCCCATAACATACATTAAAGTTATGTAACGTGATAAAATGCACTGAATGTTAGTGTATATAAACCCTTCATTTAAATATTGTGTGTATAGTATGGAGTTTGTTTTTGTCCTGTTTATTTAGCTCCTTTACATCTTCATATATTCTGTTTCTCTAAGCCTTGGAATATATTCCTCTGCGTGCCCAATGCAGAGTTTTGCTCCACAGTTGCACAGACATGCTTATAATGCATTGAACTAAGCCTGCAGATAATTTATTTCAAGTGTTCGCTGCGCCACATATTTCAGCTGCAGCAGCCTATTTGTTTAAGTGCTACTTGGACTGTCTGCCAGGTCAAAGAAGGAAAAACGTGGCATGAGAGCCGGCTGATTGGTTGTGAGAGATTACTGTTTAATGTGCCCCCCCCATACCACCCCACCATCTATATACATTACACCCCTTTGACCTACGGCTCACACTTATGAAGGATAACTATTGCACGTAATCCCATGCTGCAAGATAGACCCATCCATGTTTCCATTCCCTAAACTGCGTTCCGTGTGGGAGCATCCATTAGCTCCCCTGCCATGTGTGCTGCTGATTGTATTCTGGGTGATGGACAGCTTTTCTGTAGCCATTCTGTATCCCTTTTGCTCCAGCTGCTGTAAGCCATTGAAACCCTAGAGACCAACTGGCTGGCCTGAATAAATGTACTTTATTCTAAGACGTTTATTCTTGGGCCCTTTCCCCTGTGTAACCACTCTGCATTAGGATCGTTGTTTGGCAGAGGGAGTGAAGGCAAATAGATTGAACCGGAGGTAGTTTATCTTAGCTCCTTGGCTCGAGCACCGCCCATTGGCCGCCTGCTGCCAACTCCAGGCTGAAATGGAAAATGGATGAAGCTGGAAATGAAACCATATGTACCGAAAGGCAGCTGCTGCGTCAGCCACACTGTGTACCTTTTTTCTTTTGCATTATTTATGCAACACTTGTTTCTTCTCCTTTTCCATCTCTACTTCTTATTTCCTGTAATCATTTTTCTCCTCTTTCTTCCTATTCAGTAACAAAACATAGCCCTCATAGTAATAAAAAAAAACTGAATGGAAAAGAAAAGAATGTTTTAGACTAATTTGTTTGATTTTCAGTAATGACACCTAAATAAACACTGCATTTGCTTTTAGCTTTTACAACCCCTTTCACTCTTAGACTTAGACAACTTTTATTGTCATTTGGTATACACGGATTGTATGCAAAGTAAAGTTTCATTTTGAATAGCTCTCATGACATTTCCATTTTCTTAAAGTGCAGCAGTGATGAAATGTAAACATTGTGGGAGAAAAAACATGGTGCAAAAAAATGCATCGACAGTCAGTTTGATGCAGTCTTTTTCAACATTCAGCTGTCTGAACAACACTCATGTCACACATGTCACACACACATGTGTTGTCTCAAAATGTGTGAAAAAAACAGTTAAATAAAAAAAATCCTCTATTCCTAGATCTAACTGGGGAATATATTAAGGAATATGTTTTTTAAAATAAGAAATCCAACACAAGTTAAAAGTAAAACATTTGTGCAACCCCCTTTTACCAAAGTAAGAGCACCTGGACTTTTAATGTTTCACAAGCTGCAGCATAATGAGACCCATGTTTGCACTCTGGTTATGTAAAAATTTGGTATCTGTGGTTTATTCGTTTAAAAACCCTCTATGATGTTTCATGGCTCTGTACAAATGCTAATATATCTCATATCAAACCCCATGACTACACTGTAATGTCTTATGAGTTGAAACACGAGAAATACAAAAATCTTCTTTCATCTTTCTAATTGGGTGTTTTATAAGAGAAGAGTAAAACCTGATTGCTAATGGAAGGTATGCAGTTATGTTCCAGCAATTTGATGATTTTAAATATCTAACCCTTCAAGCAAAGATTAGGTGGTTATTGTCAAATTAGTTTAAGCATTTTGTGTTTTTTGTTCAGCTCTGTGAACTGAAATGGTCATGCAAAAAGTTTTGACAAAATTTTTTGACATTTATCATAGCTCTCTCAGCTTCTGGACAAGAAAGGGACCCACAGCACCATACCATCTTTACCATACTTGGCCATAGACCTGAGATGCTTTTGTCAAATACTCTTTGTTTCTGCGTGCTTAAAATCTTGGGGTGCTGCAGATCTTTTGATTAAAACCTAATTATTACATGCTAATTGCAATCTAATGCAAGCAACCTTAGACTGCAGAGTAAGTCAGTATGGATGCAGTACGGGAGTGCTGTAAATGATGCGCATTTTGAGCCGACTAAGGAAGTCTAAGATGCTTGCTTCATCGTAGTCTGTGTTTGAGCTCAGTTTCCTGCCTCCTTTGATGCAAAATTGAAAACCTGTAAAATCCTCAATAAATTAAGTCAGAGTAAAGTGTAGCATGGTAGTTCAGAACACGATTGCTGTGCTTTAGAATCCCATGATGATTTGAAAACATCTGATCATCTTCAGACTATCATTAAAACATTAGATATGTGACATATATGGAAGGTGACATATATGGAAGAAGAGATGTATTTTGAATGCCTTGTGAATGTAGCTTATATTTCCCAACACATTTACCTTTTTATTTTAGGAGAGACCGAAGATTTAACCATTGCAGGTTTCCAGTTGGTAAGTTATTGCAGACCCTAGATGCAACTTTTGACTAACAGTGAGCTTCAAAGAATTAAGCAATATTTTTTCTGGCTTGTCACAGTGTTGGTCGTTGAAACTTTTGTTCTGACTGACGATTGGTTTGGTTTTGAATGGTATATTTTCTGTTTTTCCCCATTTGAAGTTTCAATTTTACCATACAGTCAGGAAGTTTGAGATATCACCAATTCCTAATAACACTAATCAACAAAAAAAAAAAATGAAGCACCATTTAAAAAATTCTTTTCTCTGAGACACATTTGAAGTTCTGATAATCACTTTTTTGATTTTGAAAACAGTAAAGTATTTCTTCTGTGCTAAAACGTTTGAATGTCAAATTTACTTATTTAAGATTGTCTTAATTCTGTTATAGGTTTATTTATCAAACAGATGGTGTCGGCTTAAGGTCAGAGTTGCTATGTTGCTGGAAAATCCTACTTTTTTTATCTATATACCACATAGACATTCTTGGGTTTATCATAGGCTGAACTGGTTAAACCTCAGGTTACTTAAGTTGTCTTTGATTATTTAAAGTTAAATAAAGGTGACAAAAACTTCAATGTGAGAGCCTGTTAGTAGATAATTAAGCAAAACTTTATTAACAGCTTAAAAATGTCTTTTGGTACAGAAATATTGCTATATACATATATATATATATATATATATATATATATATATATATATATATATATATATATATATATATATATATATATATATATGTGTATATATATATATATATATATATATATATTATTAAATCAGGTTTAAGGATAGATATTATGGAAGGATATAGTAAAATCATCTATAATAAAATCACCCATAACCCTGCTTGGAGGCAACCGGTTACCATGGTGACACAGGAAGGGACCTAAAAGAAAATGACCGTAAGGGTAGTAATTAAGACAAAATGGTGTGTTTTATATATAGAGTTAGAAATATCAGCAGTGAATTAGACCCTTATTAGCCAAAACACAAAGCTTGGTTGGTTAGAGTTACAAAGGAAATCTGCCTAGTACTGTTTTTTATTTTTTTATTTCCATAATGATGATGAAGGTTTAAAGTTTTGGTTGTTAAAAAGCATTTCGGCCTTCATCCGAAAGATGTTTCTAGATTATATCATAGATTATATCTAGATTAAATTCTAGTGACGCAGAATTTCTGGAACTTTTTTGGATTGTGAGTGTAGTGTAAAGTCCTTTGGGGTCATTGGACTTGATAAAGAGGAGAAGAAGCAACTTACCTTTTAAAGCAGAACATTTGTGTTTTGATAAGGCTGCAAATAACTGGTTCAAACCCCACTCACAATCACTCTGGATCTGAGCTGCAAGCTGTTCACAGCTCCCTAAGACTGATGGGTTTACATGGAGAAGACACATTTTGTTGAAATGTAAAATTGGAATGACAAAAAATATTATTATTATTAATATGTTAGGTCTTTTAAATATAGGACAAAACACAAAAGCTAAGTCCAGTTATTTTATTGGCATCCTTTTACTTTAAATACTTGCAGTCACTGCAGTACTTGTGGAAACCAACAACTCGTCCATAAATTGCACTGCAGTGAGCTTAAAGTAAACCTCCCTGTCTAAGTCAATAAAATGTAGTTTATTAAATCTAGATTGTACCCAAAGTAATAGAAAGATCCCATGTCTGTTAAGTTAGATAATGTCCAAAGGACAACAAGCCGGTCTTCCATCAGGAACTTACTGTGTGAAACATGGACAGATACTAATTTGTTCCAGCATGATGAATCAGGTTAACCCCTTCGTGTTAATTACTGGTTGATTCATCCTGATTCATTCTATTAAATTATCTGTTTTTTTCTAACTTCTTTGTTTGTTTGTTTTTGGTCTCAGTGTCCTGCATAGTGGGCAAAAAATGCAAATTTCTTTAGTCCCTGGATCTTAACTTAAACACTGTTTCATCATTAATAAAAAATGGAAATGTACAGACATACATTATCTTCAGAATAATTCTTATAATTCCAGCATATTTCAGCCCATATTTTGAAATCTTGAACAATGAATGCACTATCACCCTTGATTCAAACCATTTAGTAGATGGAAAAGCCATTTCTGAACAAAAACTGAATTTGGAAATGTACAGAACTAAACTGACTTTTTTTCCGGAGCTGAGTCAAAAGCTCTTTGAAAAGAGCTTAACTCCCCTTCACTAACAGCCAACGCAGCACTGTACTCCTAGAGAAAAGGGCCCTAATCACATATAATGGGACAAATCGAACCTGTAGAGGCAACTGCAATAAATAAGGGAAAGCTCAATTTACATATAGGGCAGTTGTAAGGGCATTAATAGGGAAAAGAAAAAAAAAATTAAGCATGCACAATGCACCTTTAAACTACTCTATGTTATAACCCCATATGGTAAGCTACTAGCAACATGAATGTGAATGTCCCCATGAACAGAT